AAGCACTTCACGATGTCCGTTGACATGCCGAGCAGCCTATCACCCGCCTGACAACATTGCTCAACCTCCAGCTGCACTGCATACCAAAGCTCGGTCGTCTCGTGACCAGGGATAAACCCAAAAAGATCTTCAGGAACCAATCCACGGAGGATCGCCAGGACCTGTTGCGCTCGGATGCCTGCCCAGGCTCTGTAAATGACTGAATACACACAGATTGGTCTGTAGCCCTGTGTGTCTGTGCGGCCATTGTCTTTGCTGAGCAAGCAAACAAATCCAACAAGAAGCTGACGGGGCCATGGCTGTGTTTCAGCTTCAATTGCCCTGAGCAGCCCGAGAAGCTCAGCAGTACGCTGAGGTGGAAGCTTGAGGAGGTCATCACGGGCCCAGCCGTCAGGGCCACGAGCGGCCCGGGGCTTGAAGCGACGCAATGCTCGAGACCACATCGAGGCGTCGATGTCCGGCAAGTCAAAGGGACGCGACGGCAGAAAAGCACGAACGAAATTCAGAAATCGGCTCCAGTCAACCGTTGTATGTTGCTGCCAACGTGCAGCCCAAACGGAAACGAATTCAGAGTGCACATCGGCCACAGAAGAGAGTGTCTGTACTTGCTCAAGTTCGAGACCGGAGGAGGAAACGGGAGAAGCGAAGGTGCATACGTTGTCTTCACAAGAGATCAAATCCACTGGCTCACCATCAATGGCCCAAGCAGAGGTACCACGTAAATCCAGTGGTCCTTCCACATGCACCTGCACTCCGGAAGAAGCCGTAGCCAAAATGGCATGAGAACGGCGGAATTGCAGAGTGTCCACCTGTTCAGGGGCAGGTGCCCGCAATTCTTTTTGGATCTGGGCAAGGCTTTTGTCATACTTTGCATCCAGTATCTTCGTCCGGTGACGCAAATGCCAGGATTCCAGCTTTCGAAAGTTGTGACGAAAGTCTTCATGAATGGCACGGACACAGCCCTCGTCCGGAACAGCGCGGGGAAGGGTGACCGGACTGCCAACCAGCTTGGCAGGGCGCGAGCGCCACCAAACTTCGAAGCCGTACCGGAAGCCCCGGGCGTGGAGAATGGACCTCCAAAGGTCCAACCGATAGCAAACTGCTGAGGGGGCCTGATTTCCAGCTGTGACTGCATGTACCAATGACTGAAGACGACGGAGCTGCTGGAACCACCTGCGGACTTCTGCACCTAATCCATCATGCACAAGGGAGTCCTCACCGGGGCGGCTGGCTTTCAGAGGTCTCTGTGGGCCAGCTCGGTTGTGTTGAGGGGCCGTGCGAGAGCCACGACCAAAACAATTTGTTGGGAGTCGGCCATTAGGAAGAGCCGTGACATGACCGTCTAGGCTGCGCTCCACCGCACGAGAGAAGGAGGCGAACCATGCAGTCGATTCCTGATGCGGGACTGAGTCGTGCACCCCCAATCGATGCCAAGCATCGAGTTGCACATCAGCCCATGGTATCTCAGCAGGGAGGGGCCAGGTTGTCTCAGTAACGG